CCATTGATAGTGAGATTGAAACTCTTTCTCACACTGTTGATCTGTAGTTTATAATCTCCAGTGTGTTCAGGTCTGGTGTGTGTGATGGTCAGAGATCCAGTTTGATTGTCCAGCTCCAGTCTGTCTCTGAATCTCCCATCAAGAACATCATCATATAGAGTGAATATGTCAGCCGTTACATTAATTTCAGCTATTAAAGCGTTTTCAATTCCAAACATCCACACAATCTCATCATCACCCATTAATTGAGTACGACCAGAGTTTAGAGTGATCGAATCTCCCTCCATCACTGACACCGACTTCATTTTAACACCAAAGAACAGAGTTTTTCACAGATTTAAAGAGACTTTCACTATAACTAAAACCAGTGCTGATGGGCATTTGAGCTACATTTTTATTTAACTTTATTGAATTACCCTTAATAACTGACTATAGACCCAAACTTGATCTCAGAAAGTTCAGCTATTTCTATATGAGAATAACTGTTAATGTTAATCCTCTCTGACAAATTTAACCAGTAATTTATTACATGGTACCAGAACAGAAACAACTGAAGTCATAAAAACACATTTCAAACTCACCAACCAGACGCCACAAACACAGACAGAACAAAACGAATTTGAGAAACATTTTCTTCATCGGTTCACTGAAAAACCCACGGTAGCAATGCTTAAAATGTCTGAAAACTCTGAACTCATCACGGTTTCCTTTATTACAGGAAGTCGTGAAAATGAACAAGCTGATCTTCAAAATAATTATGGCCCTGTATGAAAGATATTATGATTAAAGTGACATATTGCTTTTATATTAAATTAGATTAGGACTCATTGATGTGAGTCCTATTTGACCTTTGGCTATTATTTAACTGTTGGTGGATTGGCTGTATTTCAGTGTAAAGATGTTTTGTGTGGAAAAAAAGTTTGTGAGTTCATATTAGCAAGAGAGGAAATGGCAAGGAAAAAATATAAAGCTTCACCCCAAGCTACTGACACACTCAGCGACCACAAACATCCAGCAGAAGCCGACAGATCAAACCAAATGTAAAGACTTCTGTACTGATAAAACAGAGGCTAACCATTGCAGGGTTCAATCTCACTCACAAACAGAGCTGATTTCATTTAAAACTTTAATTCATTTTGTATATTTTTTCATAAAGATTTCATATACAAACACGAATAAAATGTGAATAAAATTTGAATTTGAATAATAAAAAAAAGTTTTTCCCATGTCTCATTTGCTATATTTAAAGGAAGGTTTGTGGATGATTCGTTATAAAACTCATTTAAATCGACGCAAAAATTACTGTGTATGGTTTAAAATATAAAATAAAAACAATCGAGTCAAGGAAGTGAAACCAAAAGATCTTCATCCGCTTCCGGTGATGTCTGAACGCTCGCGACGTTGTCATGGTGAACATGCTCGAGCTTTGCGTTCTCATCGGCGAAACCTCGAAACATTCCATTGTAAACATGTAAATATAGACTACTTTCTGTTAAGACGAGGCTTTCTGATGACTTTTTTTTTTTTTTAGTTATTTTATGCCTTTTTTAATGAGATACGACAGTAGAGAGATGATAGGAAAGCACTGGGAGGAGAGAGGGATCGGCAAAGGACCTCGAGACAGGAATCGAACTCGGGTCGCCGTGAGCATGTCGACGCACTAACCACGAGGCTATTGGCGCCGACTCTTGATGACATTTTGTGTTTATTTTATACATGTGAAAAAGCTAACTGTGTCCAGTTTAAAAAATAGGTAATGTTTACTAACCAGTCAAGATGTGGAGTCGTGGAGGACCAAGGAGTTCAGTTCTGAACCGGGCGAAGGCTCAGCTCTCTGGACAGAGAATCACAAACAATGGGATAGCAAGGGACAAAAGAGATGTGGTTAGTGTGTGTTACACGACTGCTCTACATTCGACATTAAATCAAAAGGAACGATGTTTACTTTTTTTTTTTTAAATAGACGTTTCTGGTGTAATTGCGCATGATTCATCACGTAATTCTTTGTAATAACTTTACTTTTCTGTATTTTATTTTTTCCTTGACTTTTTGTTTTTCTTAATTATTGTGTTGTAGTTTTGTTGTACCATAGTGTAAACTGAATGATCAAACAAAACATTATATAAAAAAGAAGCTAATCAGCTATTTAGCATTATATTTAGTCATTGTTCTAGTCTACTGTTGAAGGTAATGTGTGTGGCCTTTCTAAACTTTTTACAAAAAAATAAGTATTTTAATGCTGTTTAATGTTATTGTAACAAAGGTTAGGACTATAATAGGATATGCTAATTTAGTAGATTAAAAAATAAATAAATAATGGTTTCTAACACCATTCTCTTATTAAATGACAATAACTCCTCTTTATGCAGGAAAACCCTGGAAAATACATGTCACCGTCTAAGCAGATGCAATTCCAGGACCAAAATGACATCTTTTCACCATCAGAGAATGAAAACCAGGACCCTGTGAAAACGACAACATTGGAGGGTTTCAGCATGGGTGGCGGGAGCCGATTTCTCAAGAAGACTTCCAAAGATGCCACTGGTGATAGACTGTCATCTGCTCCTACAGGACGTCCTGCTGTAACAGATTAATTTAAGTTCATACCTCAACGCAGTTCACAAAGCGTAGCTCATCGAGAACAACATCAGAAACCAAAAAAGCAAAAACAACGGCCCCAGTATACATACAAACCTCTCCGAACCACAAGAGACACGTTTATCTGTTCAGTCGAGCAGCGATCTGAGCATGAGAGGGAGCCTCTTTCTAAAGAGGGACTATGTCGGCACCTCAAGAGCAGGTTCCTAAGAGAACGTCTGGTCTGAATGAACAAAGAAAGGAGAGACAGTTTAGACGGTGATGAAAAGGACATGCAAAGACTTCTAGGAGATTCTTTTAGCGTATCAGAATGTTCCTTGCAAAATGCTGTGAGGCAGAAGAGTCCTCAACCAGTTAAAAAGGTATTAGAACAGTTAAAAGAGTTGGTTGACCATGGTTTACTCACCTTATTGTCGTTCTAAACCCGTTTTTACTTTTTTTCTTAGTTATACAAGAGCATTAAAAAGTCCACCGTACCTTCACCAAATCCTAAAAGACACACAGTTTTCAACCATCACAGTATTTCCCCTCCCCCCAGCAGGCCTAAGTCACATATGGTCCAGTTTACTGAACATTCAGTGTCCTCTGAAATGGATCACAGTGAGATCCCAGTCTTTGGACAATCTTTTTCCTGTTGCTGCGGCACTTGATTCTGATGATACTCTGAGCGAGAGGAGTGCAGCATTGGATGGTAAAACACCTGTGAATTCAAAATTTAGCAATAATCTGAAACCGTTCTTAACTATTGTTAAATAGAATTGTTCACCTAAGTGTTTTAAATACATTTTTCTCTCTTGGTGATTTCCCACAGATTTCAAACTGAACGTAATGACACTGGATGATCTCGCCCCTATACCTTTTGAAGCAGCTGAAATCTCACAAGAAAAGGTGTGTTAAAATGTCATTTCTAAACATAATTTACGCAAGTATTTTTTTAATTGAAAAACATTGTTTGTACTCGGAAAGAAACACAAACCAGAACAGAAGATAGAAACAAGAAGTCATCCAACAACATCTCAAAGGTTGCTTCACCACCCACACCGGAAGACGCCTAGGCTGCCTACGAGAGTGATTTTGAGAGCGAGATCTCATCTGAGATGCCACAGAGCGCCAGTGAGATCTCCGAACGTCTCACAGATAAAAACAAAGATGCCTCACTGATCAGCGAGGCCCAGCACAGCACATACAAATCCCAGGATGGCGACGATGATGACCATACTTTATCACAATCCTCGTCATCCAGTCACCACTCAGACTCTTCCTCGAGGTCTAGCTCGTCCAATGCAACAGTCACACATGGCCCCAGTCCTGACCGTCGTGTAAAGGAGGTTGCGGTACAGACTCAGACAGATGGACTAACTTACACATGGTCTTCTGGTAGGTTTACATTATCTGATACTTCAGTGCGGCCAGACTACATTTCTTTGGGGCGTACCTCAGGGTTATAGTTCAAGACCACCTTGTTCTTGTTCTGAGAGAAATGTATTTGGGTGAATCTCACAAAACCTGTCAAGAACATGTCTTGGTCATATTTCTGACTCCATTTCTTTGGGGCGTAACTCAGGGTTATAGTTTAGGACCACTTTCACTCTTGTTCTGAAAGAAAGGTATTTGGGTGAATCTCACAAAAACAATCAAGAACACATCTAGGTCATATTTCCAACTCCATTTCTTTGGGGCGTCCCTCAGAGTTTTGGTTTAGGACCACTTTCGTTCTTTTTCTGTGAAAAATGTATTTGGATCAAGAGTAGAATAGAGAGAAAATTATTTTACTAGTTGAACCAGCTCATTTTCCATGTTAACAGGTTTGACGGCATACAGTCCTGCTGTTTTTGCACTCAACGACATGTTGCGGCAGTAGTTGGCCCTCACTAGAGCATTCATCGACTCCACCAGACGTCACTACACGTCAGTGATTGAGTCACTGGGACCTGCTGACTACAAATACATCACACTAGAGGATACTAAAGAGGTAAAAATGCAATGAGTAACAAAATGAGGCTGTGAGGGTTAGACGTAGAACAATTGTATCAAGTTTGTATCGTTTTTTTTTAGAATAATATATATAAAAATATATATAATATAAATATATCATAATATCTTAAGTGTTTGCTAACGGGATTTTTTTTTGTTCTAGTTTATTCACGCTCACAGGCCACCCAAACTGAGTATCGAAAATGCTTTAGAAGAAGTTCTACAGGAAATGAGAGACTATCATTACAGTTGAATAAACAGATGATCAATGTTTTGGATGCATCATCCATAGATTATAAACAGCCAAAACTTTTCAATCATTGTTCATGTAATAACGTGCCTAAATAAACCAGCATTTTTCAGTATCGGTTCACTGGGTTTCACTTCAATCATTCATGCATAAATGAAATGTTTGTCTAAACACTGTGCCCTTTTTAAAATATCTTTATTTTGCTTGTACAGAGTCTCAGATTAATCAAAGGAAGCGCTTGCAATGACACTGACACCTCTGAGTTACAATATGATGCTTTGATGCATTTTACTACAAAAAGGAACCAAGGGCAAGATAAAATGTCCAAACAAATGTGAAAACAGCTTTGACATCTACAGTAAAAAAACAAACAAAAAAAAAACAGACCATGTGTGATGGGTGATCACTCTGTGCTGGAGGGCTCCTGGGGGTCTCTGATTACTGAGGATGAACAAAGATAAAACACATTCATACTTGGTTATAATTAATAGTAAGTTCAATACTTGGGGTTAATAGTTTGAATAAACCCCTAACCCTAAGTATTAGCATCAATATTAGTGATGATTGACTTGGCAAACAGGCTTTTGCTAACATTAAGGTCTCCATTTTAAAAACATGAATACCTTTTTCTCGTGCTTTCATCCTTGCAACAAAATTGTAGCTTTTGTTTCGCCTGTAGTTCACGTACGGGTCATCCAGCGGGACTCCCACTCCTTTGTACTGGTCCCACTTGTCCCGGATGTCTCCTCCTTTGATGGGGTCTTGAATGCCCTGTTCTTTAGCACCAAGACCCCCTGATCCACTCCAGCCTACAGGATGAGCAGGAATAGAATTAGTGCTGGATCAATGGAGACATCAGTTCATGTGGTCTTCGTCAAACATGTTCTAGATAACTTACCCATCTTCATGAGCATCTGATGGCCCTTGTTTTCTTCGCCCAGCTTGAGGTCGGCTGGTAACGCAGCAGGGCCTGAACCCAAACCAGATGTGGAGCTGCAGAGAGGCCGTATTTCATGTCAACATCATGCTAAATCGCAATTTGGATTGGATCAATTTTGTGATACCACCAATTATAATTGTTTATAATTTTTAACATTCAATGCAACAAGAAAGTTAGCTTTAGTCACAAAATTTGACTTATAAAGGTCAAATAAATGTGGTGGAAAAAAAGCACAGACACTGCAACCTGAATGGGATACTTTTTTTTTTTCACCATCCAACTTATAAAGGTCAAAATAAATGCGGAGAGATTTTATGACTAAAAATACAACAATAGACTTTGTAATGTGATTTCGTAGGATGGGATTAGATTTAAATTTAGGAGCCCCTAATGAGTAAAAAGAATTTAGGTAATTTGCTACATAATTTTTAATGATATTTTATTTCAATATTTTTATTTGAAATTTCACTAAATAAAGTCGCAATATCACTTTTTGTATTAATAGTTTTTCATTATTCATTTTACAAATAATTAAAGACAATGAAAAACGTAGGTAAATAATTAAATTCAATAAATGGATTAATTTATTTAATTGTATTGTTTTAATTAAGCATTATCATGATTCAAAATTATCATGAAATCCTGATAGTAATAGCTATCTGTACAGATACAGATTACAAAGCAAAATTCTGCTTTTCAAATGCGAACTGGATTTAGGTAACAAGGTAGCTCGACTTACGGTGGTGTCGGACTGCGTGATTTTGCAGCGTCACGACGCTTGTCTGGAGATCGTGATCTGGAGCGAGATCTGGAGCGGGAGCGACTTCGGGACCTGGATCTGGAGTGACTCCTGCTTCTATGGGAGAAAGTCAAAAATGTGTTCAACAACTTCGTGTGGCTGGAAAAAATGGTTTAAATATTCACAGATTATAATTTTTTTTTTTGGGATACCTGGAGCGAGATCTGGAGTAGGAGCGAGAACGAGAGCGGGATCTGGATCGGGATCTGGAGCGAGAGGATTTGGAAGACCTGGAGCTGGAGCGTGACGTGGATCGTCCTCGACTGCGTGACCGACTGCGCGAAGGATTCCCTCGGGTGCTGCCAAAAAATCATCACGTGAAATGTTACTGAGGAAACAATGGGAATGACTTTTGTTTAGTCGCATCTGAATTCAAGTGTTATTTTAGTATTACAAGTATACTATAATAGTATTTATTAATATTTTATAATATCTTCGTTTTATATTTTCATTTTCATTTTAGTCTAAGTTTTACTAATATTGTATTTTGTCATTTTTTATTAGGCTTTTTATATTTAGTTTTTATTTCAGTTTTAGTAATTTTAGTATACCATTATAGTATTTATTAATGTTTTAAATTAGATTGTATTTTCCTAATTTTGTGTTTAAATTTGATTTTTGTCATTTTTATAAGCTTGTTTATTAATCATTTACTGTTGTATATATATTTAGTTTTTTTTTTTTTCAGCTTTAGTTTTAGTATACTATTATGGTATTAATATTTAGATTTTTTTAATTTTCAGATTTCAGTATAATGTTGAAGTTTTAGCCATTGTTTTTTTTTTTTAAGTATATTTTTATTTCAGTTTTAGCTTTGGCAATTTTAGTATACTATTATAGTATTGTGATTAGGTCTTTTTCTATTTTCAGCTTTTATTTTAATTTTAGATTCACTGTTTTGTTGCTGTTTTTTTTTAATTAGGTTTTAATATTTATTTTTATTTCAGTTTTAGTATTTTTTTTGTATACTACTACAGTATTCACTAATATTTTGTATTAGTTTTCATTTTCCCATTTTCAGCTTTCATTTATTTTTATTTTGTTGTGCTCTTGTTTTTTTTATTCTTGTGAGTTTTCCTTGTTTGTCGTTCTAGTAAATTTTAAATTTTTATATAAATATTTATTTTTATTTCAGTTTTAGTCTTAACAAATTCAGCATTTCAACTTAAGTGAGTTGCAAAGGCAACATTTGTAATAGAGATGCACTGATTGCAATTTTCTTGGCCGATTCTGATTTTTTGTTAGTGTGATCTGCCAATACCGATTTTTGCCGATTCCGATTTTCTTTCTAAGAACTATAATTGACAGCCACTCATTTTGGTATTTGTGGCTCACAAGCTGTTTGAGACACAAAACGCTTGTGTGCTCCACTAATATAGATCAGTGGTGGTGCGCGCGCGTTTGGCATAAGCGCGAAACCTGCGGGATTGGCTAAAATAATGCACAATACAAGCACTATTTAACTGGAGCGAATGAGATGTGTGTGTGTGAGAGAAGGGGTCATCGGAGAGAAGAGAGCGAGAATGCGCGGCTGACGTTATTGCCTGTGCCGCTGGTAACAAAACGGATCGGAATCGGAAAGAAGTGAGACTGACCGGCCGGTCACCGATCCGGGCCGATCATGAGGAAAATCGGCCGATTCCGATCCCTGGCCGATCGATCGGTGCATCTCTAATTTGTAATTGTAAATTAGTTTTAGCTTTTTCATCTAATATTTACATTTTATTTAAACTAATGAAAAGGTTTTCGTTTTTGTTAGAATACATTAAAACAGTTCATTTCTTCCACACCTGTTGCGTTTGTCCTGATCCTTTTTCCGCCTCGCTCTCATTTTGGCCCGGAAGAACTCGTACAGACCATTCTGTTCCCAACCCTCACTAGAAAAATGATCAATTTTAGTCATTACAACTGAAGTATTAAATAAAAACCTCCAACAAAACTACAAAACGAGCAGTCACATTGGTGTTCACCTGTTTCTGGGTCTGTCGTGGGACGGCGGGCTGTAAAACGCCTCCACTGCAGCCAGCAGACGGTCACTGGGAGGCATCGGGGGGGGCAAACGGATGTCTTTGGAGTCCAGAGGCTTATAATCATGATCTTCAAGCTATTGTTAAAGAGAAAGTTTAATCTCACATTTAAGACGAGACTGCCAAAAACAAACATCTACTTTCCCAGCTGACGTCTAGGGCTGGACAATAATTCAATATCAATATTTATCGCGATATAATTTTTTTCAATAACGGTGATATGATTTTTAAACACATTTCCGATATTT